TGGGGTATTTTTTAAACCATAGCTGGTGTACCACTCAGATTAGCCAATCAACATTCACTTTTCCTTTTATTTTCTAAAATAACCCAGACAATAAGAAAAGTCATTTTCCACAATTCAGCTTCAAAAAATGTTCATACATTTCCAAAGAATGAAAATTTCCAATGGTGTGTGTACTTACTTAGCTTGAAACCTAATGCTATCAGGTAGAGAAATTCAGTTAAGTATAACAACAAAACCTATTAGAAACCATGTTTAAATAAACAGAATATGGGTGATGTTAAGAATGCCATTAACACCCTTAAAACAAAGGATGCAATATACAAAATGTATTTAAAAATAAAAAGAAATACAGTGTCTTGAGGTGATAGAATACTATATAATAATGATTTTTTTATCCAATTATTGATGACTTAATCTATATTACTATTAATGTTTGGAAAAATATTATGGTTGTACATGTTATATATGTCAACATTTCAGAATTTAAAATACATTTATCAAAAGCTAACATGAGTTTGCAAATGGACACATCCCCACCTCCAAATATATATATATATATATAGTGAAGTATGGATTTTTCTCATAGTCTCATGGGCAGAAGAAAAATTACCTAGCCTGACCACCATGTAGCTTTATATGGTTAAGAAGGCCTGCCCTAAAGGACCATGTCCAGAAAGATGTTTACTGGTATTTCACAGGATAGGATACGAGAAATGGAATACTTCCAGTCATATCAGTAAACAAGAATTTCATAGTCATCAGCTATTCCAGATCTCCAAATGTGAATTCCTGAGCCCAAAGGGCACTCAGAAAGAATGTCTGTGTGACTGGGCAGCCACCAAGTTGCAGCCACTCCTTACAGTGAGCATGGAGGAACTCAGAATGTGAAAAATGCAGGATACTGGCCCCAGATAACTGAGATCACATGAAAAGAATGAATTCATTGAGTCCAGACTCCTGCGTCTTACCATACATAGAAAAGCACTACATTCCTTAACTTGGAATATCTGGTTTTCTTTAATTCACAAAATACTTTTGATATTCAGACTACCTATCCTTTGTTGCAAACCTCTATATAATCTGATTCCTCCCCCCACTTCCTTGGAGCAGTTCTCCCACAGTTACTTCAGATGCTATCTCCCAGGACTGAAGTCCTAAAAATTCCCACAAAATAAAACATAACTCTCAACTTTTAGGTTGCAACTATTTTTTAAGTTGACAATATGATGCTAAAGAGCCTCATGATGAAAGTGAAAGAGGAGAGTGAGAAAGCTGACTTAAAACTCAACATTCAAAAAACTAAGATCATGGCATCTGGTCCCATCACTTCATGGCAAATAGATGGGGAAACAATGGAAACAATGAGAGACTTTATTTTTGGGGGGCTCTAAAATCACTGCACATGGTGACTGCAGTCATGAAATTAAAAGATGCTTGCTTCTTGGAAGAAAGTTACGACCAACCTAGACAGCATATTAAAAAGCAGAGACATTACTTTGCCAACAAAGGTCCATCTAGTCAAAGCTATTGTTTTTCCAGTAGTCATGTATGGATACGAGAGTTGGGCTATAAAGAAAGTTGAGTGCTGAAGAATTGATGCTTTTGAACTGTGATGTTGGAGAAGACTCTTGAGAGTCCCTTGGACTGCAAGGAGATCCAACCAGTCCATTCTAAAGGAAATCAGTCCTGAATACTCATTGGAAGGACTGATGCTGAAGCTGAAACCCCAATACTGTGTCCACCTCATGCAAAGAACTGACTCATTGGAAAAGACCCTGATGGTGGGAAAGACTGAAGGCAGGAGGAGAAGGGGACGACAGAGGATGAGATGGTTGGATGGCATCACCAACTCAATGGACATGAGTTTGAGTAAACTCCGGGAGTTGGTGACGGACAGGAAGGCCAGGTGTGCTGCAGTCCATGGTGTTGCAAAGAATCGTACACGACTGAGTGACTGAACTGAACTGATGATACCGCATGGATGCGAGTTCTATTTTTCCAACCCTGACTCTAAGCAGAAACTGGCTGGTCATTTCAAGAGGAGTTTAAATTCCCTATGGCCACACTACACTGAATACCAATCCCTGCAGAGAAAATGCGTATACAGCCTGTTCACATTAGATAAGCACAGACACTCTACTAATTCACAGCAATAACTAATATTTTACAGAGTATATGTCATGGAAATAAAGTCCCAGTAAGCTCTACCTGGCAAATACCAAAGAAACAACTATTAGGATTTCATAGAGAGATTAGCAAATGATTCATACAGAAAGCAACAGCCTTCTTTTATACCAACAACCACCACCAGAGTGTAATGGGGGGAAAATAGCACATTAACAACAGCAAAAAAACCCTTTCCATAAAACACTTAGGGTTAGCCAAAAAAGAAATATGCAAATCCTATGTTTAAGAAAAGAGACAAAATTTTAAAAAATGTTTTCAATGAGAGAAGTTTGATCTGAAATTATCTCTATGGAATGTAGGAAGGAATACTGTAACGGTGTCTTTCTCAAATTAACCTATAAATGGAAGTAAATTTAATAAAATATAAAGTTTATTTTCAATGTTACAAGTCAATTCTAAAGTGTATGTAAAAAAATAAATAAATAAAATGTATGCAGACCACATGAAATCAAATATCACATCTCTTTCACTCTTCACCCTATATTCAGTCCAGTTCAGTTCATCTCAGTCGCTCAGTCGTGTCCAACTCTGCGTGACCCCATGGAATGCAGCACACCAGGCCTCCCTGTCCACCACCAACACCCAGAATCTACCCAAACTCATGCCCATTGAGTTGGTGATGCCATCCAACCAGCTCATCCTCTGTCATCCCCTCTTCCTCCTTCCCTCAATCTTTCCCAGCATCAGGGTCTTTTCAAATTAGTCAGCTCTTTGCATCAGGTGGCCAAAGTATTGGCGTTTCAGCTTCAGCATCAGTCCTTCCAATGAACACCCAGGACCGATCTCCTTTAGGATGAACTGGTTGGATCTCCTTGCAGTTCAAGGGACTCTCAAAAGTCTTTTTCAACACCACAGTTCAAAAACATGAATTTTTTTGGTGCTCAGCTTTCTTCACAGTCCAACTCTCATATCCATACATGACCACTGGAAAAACCATAGCCTTGACTGAGTACTCAGTATTATTGGTGTGTGTGTGTATAAATATTCACACGTGCACTCAGTTCTGTCTGACTTTTTTGCAGCCTCACGTACTGTAGCCCACCAGGCTCCTCTGTCCATGGAATTTTCCAGAGAAGAACGCTAGAGTGGTTTGCCATTTCCTCCTCCAGGGGATCTTTCAGACCCACGGATCTTATTAACTGTGCCACCTGGGAAGCCCATCAATATTATTAGAAGTACACAACTAATTGAATAAATGAATGAATATAGTCCAAGCGATTAATCTGTAATATATAGCAAATAGGTAATAAGAACCTACATACTCCTGAAGAAGAATAATAGCATATCACATATCAGAGTGTTCCATGAGATTACCTATCACCTGCTAAGACAAAGCAGCATGTTCTAGACTAGTATGGCCACCATGAACAAGCATGAGAGCAGAAAAATATGTGTTTAGACACTGTACAAAAAATAGTGACAAGTCACAGTCTCTGGAAGAAGGTAAAATCCCACTTATGCCCCAATACTCTTCCCAGGAACAATTTTCCAACAATGGCATAGAAAGGAGACCAAGCCAAAAGTGGGAACCGTTTAACAGAAACCACATAAAGACTTTACAGAACAAAGCAATTACACATCAGTATGTTTCACTAATAGAAAAATCCTCAGCAAAACATCAACAAACCAAATCCAAAGATATAGTGAAAGTCACTCAGTTGTGTCCAACTCTCTGAGACTCCAAGGACTGTACAGTCCATGGAATTCTCCAGACCAGAATACTGGAGTCAGTAGCTGTTCCCTTCTCCAGGGAATCTTCCCAACCCAGGGATAAGAGCCTTGTAAGAAAGAGACATTCCGTCATCAAGCAGAACAGTGACATACACTCTAAAGAAAGTCCAAACAGAACTAGCTCACATGATTTGGAGAGAATAATGATTACTTAAACAATAAAACTTGCAAAGTAGAACTTGCAAACAAAACTTGCAAATGTATAGAGAAAACACTGCATACTTTTCTTTGCAGAGCATGACTAAATCCCTTCAGCTGAAACCCAGCTCTGGCTACTGCTAGGACACTGAGACCCAGTAGACCATTAGTGGCCAATCGTGTGCTTCGATGGGCAAAAAATTGCCACATGTTCCCTTTACAGAATTCAGTGTTAATGAGCTCTATCTCTAATGTGTTGAGATTTCATCAGTTAAAATGTATGTGATTTGTAAGGAATAATTAAGGTTGAGGCAACAGAGAGAATGAGATGATTGGATGGCATCACCAAATCAATGGACATGAATTTGAAGAAACTCCAGGAGATCGTGAAGCACAGGGAAGCTGACGTGCTGCAGTTTGTGGGGTTATAAAGTCAGACACGACCGAGGGACTAAACAGCAACGGAGGTTAAGCTGCAGCATTTCGTTTCCAGATAAACAACACTTGCTCTTCAATAAACCACCTCCGTTGTAAATTTTGCTTTTACTTCATCATACTTCTAAACTGTCCCAGCACTCACATTCCCCAACTCCATGAGATCCAGAAATCAAGATCACTAATACATAGCTGGTTTTCCAGGTAACCAATCTTTCGGAAAAATGAAAAGAGTCTTACTGTGTCAGAGATAAGAGACCTGGAGAAATAGCCAATTTACTGTCTTGGAAACTTGGAAGGATAAGAATTGCTTGAAAAAGAAGAGGATATCTGTTTCAGTCTCTGCACTACCTTTCCTTTGCTTCATCTGAAGTTGAAGGCATTTAGTCTAAGACTGATAGGGTTTTCATCCTGGCTAAGACGTCACGCCTGGGCCTTGCCCTCCGGCGCATTCTTTGTTCTTTTCCGGCCCCCACCACACAGGGGGAGAGGGGACTGGTCAGGACGGGATGCACCGCACTCGGTTCCTGATCAAAGTCAGCCGGTGGTGGCTCAGCTATGCTATTGCGAAGCACAGGGGAAACTGGAAGACCAGCAGGAAGAAGAGTCAGGGTATTTCTCCCCCCGCTTCCCGCTCAAACCCGGGCAATGCCTCTGGCCTTCCCCGCAGCTCCGATGTGGCTTCAGCTCTCACCAGGTAACCGGCTGACTCCACGCCCTTGACCCTCTAACCATGCTGTCTCCCCTTACTGCTCTAATCTAGCGCTGGCGGTGGTGGCTTCCTGCTGCTGCTAAACTGAACTGCCTCACCATCCCATTTGTTTCCATCCATTTAGTTGATGCCCTGAATATATTATTTCTAGTTTAAATACTTGAAAAGGTTTCTATTTTCCTAGATAGACTCTACATAGGAATCACTCTACATAGGAAGACACACATCAAAATAAAATTCGTAGTTTCCTGCTAAGAAAAAGACTTCTTGTTCATCAGCACATAGTAAGAATACATCCCTTTAGATGGCATTTGTGGGGTTTGCTCATAGTAGTTTTTACTTCTGTTGCTACTGGCTCTGCACTTGCTAAGAGGACACTGCTTTCTCTTACTTTTGTTCTTGTGTGAAGGCTTGAACTGAGAGATCTACAAGTGTTGATCCCGGGACTTCCTAGACCTTTTGACTTCAATACTAACTTATTTTTGCAGATGCTTTACAGATGCTTCTGCAATCCTTACTGATTCCTACAAATAGCAGACATCGGCTGTGTTTGGCTGACCAAAATTCTTTCCCTTTTAGTCTGGTAAATAAAGATAGGTTTTCTATAGTGAACTGATTCCATTAGAGGAATAAGAGAACACTCCTCCTCTCCTGACCACAATAGTGGTCATATTACCTGAGCTGGGCCAATGGGAAAAGCCTGTACTCTGACCATAGTGACTGGGTAAGTGATGTGCAAGTTTAACAAGAGGCCAGTAAGAACCCATACTCCCACCCCAAGCTGGACTATTATGACTTCCACAGCCTCTTCCAATTGGATCTGATATGGCAGACCTGAAGATGCACTGCTCAGATCTTCCTATGAGGAAAACATTCATACAAGGGCTGAATCTGGTCAGCAAACAGCCTTTAGTTACTAGGGCTTTCAGGATCTTACCTAAGTTTCTAACCTCATCTCCACCTGAGGTTATGCACTTTCCAGGCAGGCTGCCTCCAGTAACTGAGCAAGGTGGGGTATAAAGGCTCATTCTTAGGAAACTGACAAGCTAAGTTTCCCAGTTCTCAGTAGGGTTGAGGCTTTGTTGGACACGAATCCCAGTTAAACTAAGAATAGCATGGCAACCCAGGACCCAGACTCCTTGGACTAAAGGTCTAGGTCATGACTATAGGTAGGACATTAAAGTGAGCAAAAATGATGGCTAAGATTAAGAAGAATTTAGGACGAATACTAGAGGAGGAAAAAAAGTACCAGTTATGACCCCCCCTACACACACTCCCAAAATCAACTTCAGGGACAGGCGCTGTGGTTCTTTCCACTAAACGCTCTTCCAAATATAGGTTTAAGTAGAGGTGAGCAACACAACAGGTAAAACGTAACAAGCATGAAGATCCCCTCTGAGGGTCCAGCTTTCTGCCCGAGTGGACAAAGTGTAGTGAGCAGATAGTCTACAGCCATCGGCTCCTTCAGGGCCTGATGCAGTTCCCTAGCCACTGAGATCCAGCCTTGCTGCAGGTCACACACTTCCCAGGGTGGCATGCTGCTGGTAACTGAATGAGGCAGGGGTATGAAGGCCCAGCTCCTGGGGCCTGTGCTGTGGGTGCTTACTTGCTCAGTCATGTCTGACTCTTTATGACCCCAAGGACTGTAGCCCACCAGGCTCCTCTGTTCGTGGGAATTCTCCAGGCAAGAATACTGGCGTGGGTTGCCATTCCCTTCTCCAGGGGATCTTCCCGATCCAGGGATCGAACCGGGTCTCCAGCATTGCAGGCAAATTCTTTACCATCTGCGTCACCAGGGAAGCCTGATGTGAGATAATTCTAAAAGGCCACTCATTCCAAATTTCCTTACCACACTGCTTAAGGATTTGCTGAAACTGAATTTCAACTTGACAATTCCCTCTGCCCAATCCTGTTTCCCCCTCTTTTTCCTCTCACAGGTGTTGATTCCCAATAAATAGCATGGACCACAAACTCCATCTTTGTATCTGCTTTCGAAGAATGAAACCTTTGACCACTGCTAAGCACGTGAGTGAGATTATTGGACCCCTGGCATCATATGACCAGCACTTCCAAGTGACAAAGTGAAAATGATACTGATGATATCATCTGAGCTCCATGTCATGCTTCAATCCATGCCTAAAGCCAAACAGAATTCTGGACTTTGCACTTTTGTAAGTCAATAAATTTAAATTATTATTATTGATACTACCTGTATATGTATAGGTGACTTTAAATATACTTCTATCATGCATAAGTAGATAGTCTTGATTAACAAACTACAAAGACCCCAATATTTATTTTAAAAATGAAAATGAAGACAGACTATGAATGTTTATGAAAGAAAGAGAATTTCATTCCACCATGTCTTGTCCCAGAAAAGATACACTGATGCTGGCCTTAGTCTCTTCTATTCCTGACTCAGTTAACAGAAATTATGAAGCTTTATCACCTTTACCTCGACAAGGTACTTGGTTTTCGACCATTTCCCAGGGAGCATGTGCCCAGCTTTTAAAATACTGTTTTAAAAAACATTACAGGCATAATAGATGGCTTCTTACCTGTATGTAAAGCCCAGAAGAAGAGCAAGAGTAGTAAAAGAAATAAATTATACAGAAAGCTTAACATGCCTTTACAACTGACAAGCAGGTGAGTCTACTTTCAACATACTTTATAGCCCATAGTTTATTAGCAGCCTTGAGGGATGGATTTTTTGACACTTTATTATCTAAATACATGGATTAACCATATGAATAAAGAAAATACCTGTGGGAGGAATCTTGAAAATATTCATAAATATTACTTAAAGTTTCTATTTGAAATGCCAGTTTTCAAAAACAGAAGAATGGAAAATAAGGTGTAATACTAAAATTCAACAACCACAAAACACAATCTACAGTTCTAGTAGATTATTACTATTATCCTGTATTCTTAAGTGACAACTGTGCATAGCTTAGGTGAAGCAAGTTGCTCAGAGTAACGATGAAAAAATCATGAACCTGAAAATTGTTGTCAATTTCTCTATCACTGGAGTCAAGAGTAACCGTACCAGGCTAGTCTCACTGCACTGCACTGTTCTATGGGGGAATAGACACATAAGCTGCAAAGGTTCATACAACGGAGTATTACATAGCAGTAAAAGAAAATGAATGAACAGACAAAGCTGATGATAACAGAAACCCAAATCATTAGACCATGAACACACTGACGAATGTGATACGCCATTGAGCAGCACAGAGAAATCCCAGGGTCATATACCTGAATGCCCCACCATCCTGACCCGCTCCTTGAACTTATTCATCCACCTTTGAATTGCTGATTTCAGTTTCACTAACAGAGTTTCTCAGACTTGTCTGTGTTCTGAGATTCTGCGCTGTAATCAGAAACGTATTTTTAAGCAAACCAGAAAAACCATTTAATATGTGCTCATTGGTAATCATATCAGCTAGTAACTACATAGGTTCATGTCACCTTCTGCAACAAACAGAGTATTTTTTTAAATCAATTTTTAATAAATGAAAGTCAATTTGAATTCTACTTTCAAAATTCATTTTTGCTCACTTCTTCATTCAAATCAACCTCAAAATTAATTATCTGAAATCACATAAATGTTATGCTTCCTAAATATATTCCTTTAATAAAACTTACTGTCTGCTGTGTGGGTTTCTCCCTTTCTTCTTTTTGCTCAAAACTACTCCACTGACGGGCAAAAGAGAGTTCTGCTTTCTTCTGTTTGGTTTTACGTATTAGGGTGTTTGATAGTGAGTGACTAGAAGAACAAAAAGACCAAGTAGAAATCGTTCAGAGTCAGGCCCCCTACTCTGAGCCAGACATCATTTATGAGGCTTGCTAATCCCAGGCTTTACTAGAAAACCTTGATTATTAGAGGTTTAGGAGTCTGAAAGTCCTGTTAACAACCTCCCTAAGCTGACTGAGAACTTGGGAAAATTGCAATCTCTTTCTAGACTGCATTTTAAACAAATTTCTCCCTGACTGTTTTTCAGAACTAACGTATTTCTGTGCTTGGAAAATTGAACAAACAACTGGATTCTGGCCTTGCAAAGGCCTCTTCTTTGCCACCTTTGAAAGGTGGCATTTCAGCTACCACATGTCATCCACATTTTGAGACTCAGAATTTCCCAGGCCACCCTTGAAAACAAGGTCAGACATATTCTGTGAAGAGAAATGATGTTCCCCATGCTAGATTAAAACAAATCTGATGGCCAACAGGCACCTGAAAAGACACCCAATATCACTGATTACTAGAAAAACACAAATCAAAACTACAAAGAGGTATCACCTCACACCAATCAGAATAGCCGTCATTAAAATATCTACAAATAATAAATGTTGAAGAGGATGTGGACAAAAAGGGCCCTCCTACGCTGCTGATGTGAATGCAGATTGGTACAGCCACTATGCAGAACAGTATGGAGGTTCCTTTAAAAAAGATAGTTATCATATGATCCAGCAATACCACTCTTGGACATATATCCCAAGACAACTCTAATTTGAAAAGATATATGTGCCCCAATGCTCATGGCAATACTATCTACAATAGCCAAAATGTGGAAGCAACTTAAATGTTCACTGACAAAGGAATGAATAAAGAAGGTGTGGTACATAAAGGCAAGGAACTAGTACACAGCCATAAAATTAATGAAACAATGCCAGTTGCAGCAGCGTGGATGGACCTAAAAATTATCACACTAAGTGGAGTAAGTCAGACAAACGTTATATGATATCACTTACATATGGAATCTAAAAAAAAACAAACTTATATACAAAACAGAAAGAGATTCACAGACACAGATAACAAACTTATGGTTACCAAAGAGTCAGGAGCTGGAGATGGGAAGATAAATTAGGAGTCTGGGATTAATATATACACATTATATATAAAATAGGTAAACAACAAGGACCTACCATACAGCACAGGGAATTATATTCAATATCATATAATAACCTATAATAGAAAGAGTCTGAAAAATAGCATATATATGTATATGTACAACTGAATCACTTTGCTCTACATCTGAAACCACACGGTAAATTAACTGTACTTCAATTTTAAAATATCTGTTTGAAAATTCATGATGACCTCATATGCATTAAAACTTCACTCTGAGCAATACAATTTTGACTCCCTGTTAAGAGAAGGAACTGCATCTTTCATGTACTTTATTCTGTGTGAGAGCTAAAAAAAATAGGATTACTTATCGACAGTGAAAATAATATGCAATTATTACAATGCTTCCCTGGTGGCTCAGCTGGTAAAGAAGCCGCCTGCAGTGAGGGAGACCTGGGTTCATTCCTGGGTTGGGAAGATCCCCTGGAAAAGGGAAAGGCAACCCACTCCAGTGCTCTGGCCTGGAGACTTCCATGGACAGTATAGTCCATGAGATCGCAAAGAGTCAGACACAACTGAGCAACTTTCTCTAGGCACTATTACTATACCAGACACATCATAAGTGTCCAATACAGTCTCATTGATTGACTGACATGTAAATGAACTGTGTGATTATTTATGATATTTTATAGATTTGATAGTTCAGAAAACACATTACTCATTCAACAAATAAGCAAAAGATTAGCACCTAAATGTCCAGCTCAAATGTTCTGTCCATCCTTTGGTGTGAGTGAGAGGCTATTTAACTTAGATTCAACTGATCGGAGTTATGTACACTTGACCTTCTATAACATAAATAAAGCAGAATTAAGATACATACAAAGCAGAAATGACAAATCAATGTCCAACTCCCAAAATCTACACAAAGAAGCATTTTTAGTACTAAACTACCTGGTGTTCAAGTATCTACAGAGAGGAAAAAAGGGACCTGATCCTGGCCCTATAGGAGTTTGCAGTCCACAAAATTCTAATCTCCGGAATCAAAACTATTAAAAGATAAGGTAACTGTGATATACAAAGTTTAAAGGTGGAAGTGCTTTCGCTTTTGGTTGAAGCTGATTGAACACATGACTGAAATGGATGGGAGGAGAGAAGTCAGGGAACTTGTTTACTCACCCTGACACAGGGAAGAATTGTTGGGTTTTTCTAAGAGTTGTTTTGGTTTTATTTTGTTTTTGCCCTTTGGCGGTGGTTTAATCACATCCAGTTCTTATGACCCCATGAACCGTAGCCTGCCAGGCTCCTCTGTCTATAGGATTTCCCAGGCAAAAATACTGGAGTGGTTTACCATTTCCTTCTCCAGGGGATCTTCCTGAGCCAGGGAATGAACCTGGGTTCATTCCATTGCAGGTGGACTCTTGCCTTACAGGCGGGTTCTTTACTGACTGAGCTATAAAGGAAGCATTTGTCCTTTAGTCTTTGTTCAAGAAAGAATCTTTTTTCCTAGAAAAAAAGCTCACCAATTCAATATTACTAATTTATCTGAACTTGAAATGCCATCTGCAGGATATTAGATCCTTTTTAATGCCAAATTTACATAGGCTGGCCAGTTTCTTGGTTACTTAAATAGTACGGCTACCCTTGGATACTCACCTACATGAAAAACAGTTTTACTTTTGGTCACACTGCTCAGCCCAAATTGGAAAATATACAGAGAAATACTCTAAACACTGGCTTCCTGACATTGAGTAAATTTCATGAAATCCTAAGTGGTTATTCTGATATTTGAATAGGCAGCTATAGAGACATTTCTGATAGACTCACTGGCACTTACTCTTGATCAGTACTGAATCAGTTGTTCACTGGCCAAACAGAAGCCACCCTATGAATTACGGATCTAAAGGGTTTTATAAAGAATTAGGGGCTTATACTTTTCTTAGAAGAAATGGGAGAGCAGAGGTCAGGGAAGCTTCCACCAAAAGTTAAGAGAGCTGCCTCTAAAAATTAGAGGGCTTGTCTCAGCTCAAAACACTAAAGCTACCGATAAAAGATTTTGCCCAGAAGATGCTGCAATTCTATAGTGTCTCTGGAAAGGTCCGATGAACTGACTTTAAGTGAGTCCACTTAGCTGTGATTCTCAAGGGCTCAGCTCTTGAGAATATGTCCTTTCATGGGAAAGCTCAAATCTAGGACTCCACAAGAAAGAAGATTCTGGGAAATACAGTTCCCAGCTTCTTTACTTAAGTTCGGAGGCAACTTTAGACAAGAATGTCAGATGCTTGATGGACTCCAAACGGCACAACACAAGGCGCAGCCAAAATGCACTTCGCTTTCCAAAGTAATGCTCCTGATAAGACATTACTGTCTTAGAAAATACTACCTTAGGATACTACTTTAAGATGTTCCTACCTTATTACTGCCTTTATGTTCCATTTAAAAGTGAAGAGGAATCTGAGGAGAACAAAGAGTGAGAAACATATTTTAACACTGGTTTGGAAATTAATAGTGAACAACAGCATAGAAATGGTACCAAAAAGCTGAGAAGAAAAAGCAGGTCTGACTTCATTTAACCCGACACTTCATACTTACTGGATCAAAGAGTTCTTTTTCTTTTCATGGAACACTTAACAAAGTTCCACAGTGAGTCTTTATATAAGCCCTCATTCTAACGGATCTTTTCAGCATCCTTCAAGATTATTAATCAAACTATGGTTAAATGAAACATACTAATGAATGAAATTATCTCTTCTCCCTTCTGATACTCTACTGAAATCATATTATTGGGATTTTTAAGGCAGAA